GGGCTTTATGAGTGAGTGTGTTGCAATCTGGAGGATTACACAGGAGACACTGAAGGCATATTTGGACTTAGAGAATTCAATTAATGCTGACTTTCCTGCCTTTTCTTTCAAATCCCAGTGAGAATCTATAAGAAAAATAAGTGTTTCTTTTCTTTTCAAACACAGCAGTGAGGCCAGCTGGCTTTTAAAAAGATTTTTTAAAGCAAAACTACAATTACAAGTCAAGCAATATCTTAAACCTAAAAAGGTGTTTTGCTCACTTCTTCAGGTCTGCTTTTTCCCAGATAGAACAAGTTATTGCTGCCTTAGGAAGTTAATATTGTAAAGCTTCATACAGGACTGTGGTTGAAGATTTTTCAGACTGAGTTTTCAGCTGCACTAGTTTGAAACCGTATCTCAACCCTGATTTTTGAGCCATTTCATCTTCTCCTACCCCTGCAGTAATTTGGAAATATTCTACCAAAGAGAGAAGACAGTGAAAAAGAGGTTTCTGATTTTGCATAGTAAACAGCATTAAAATAGATGCCAGACTTTTAGTAGGGAAGAGAGTGGGCCTTCTTCAGCGTCACAGTCAGAGTAAGCTGATCTTTATGTGATATTTTAATTTGGAGCCTATTCCAAACTCATGTTTCACTTCCTACCACTAATGCACCAGGACAGATCCAACAAAGAAACAGTAGAACAGACCAGATCCTTTGCAAAACTAAACCTGGGACAGCTTTAAAAAAAACAAGCTAATACCTGGCTCCAGAAGTAATAATATTTGGTAATAATATTAAATAATAATATTTAATATTAAATATTGCAGTATTTACTGCAAAAGGCAGACTTTAGTCTTCCAGCTGTTCCACAAACACTCTCACTTCCCTAGGTCTGGGGAAGCCTGTGGAAGTATTTGGCCTGCAAGATGAGCTGGCAGAAAGTAGCACAGTTCTTCCTCTGCACCAAAATTAGACTCAGTGCTCGATATATACTGGGGTACAAGGTGAAATGGTTTTTTTCACATTCTAAGAGGTTTTGAGAGATTTCTACAAATTTATAACAAACCCCCAGCATTTAAAAACAAAGGGCATTTTTTTCTTAATTAATTTACTTAAATGCATAAGTATATAAAAGCATTCATGGACTCCAGAAACACACATGCATACCCTGTATAGCTATGGATAGTACAGCCATTGGGGCTAAATTAATTTTAAACAGACACAAAGATTGCTAACTTTTTTTTTGTTTATTTCTAAAAAAATATATCTAAAAAAATGATCTGTCACTGGAAATGTCTTGTAGCAATATTGCTTTTCGTTCATTATGGAGGTTTTTTTTTCATTTTCAGGAGAAGGCTTCATTTTTGTGAAACACAAGAAGGACAGCAATTTAAAGGAAACAGAATTAATTTCTAAGAGATTCCAAAAACTGAAAAAATGTAATTTTTTGTTGATATTTTTTCACTAGACTATATACAAAACCCATTTTATTTATTTTTTTATTTTTCACAGTTGCTTTATTTTTGAGTAGATGAAAATGTTACTTTTCTCAAACAAATGCAGTAGAAAAATAAAGAAACTTTTGACACATACATTTATATATTATCCATGTAGCCATGATTCACAAGCTTATAAAAGTAGAAAACTAAGACATACACACCAGGACAAGGAGCTAAACTCTGTCTTTGGCTGAAGGATCTCGAGTAGATAAATCCTAATTACTCATATGAAAACAAACCGGTGTTGAGAAAATGTGGTCACAAGAAGAAAGTACCAAACAGCTGAGACTCCACATCTAATTGATCTTGTAATTCCACTAATTAGGGACTCTCTGAAGAAAATGTAATGCTGTAATGCCTCAGTGAGATTTTCTGCACTCCTCTCCCTTCTCCTCACCTGGTGAGTGGTGCGTGAGGTCAGGACGACAGCAGAGCCCACGGCCCTCCCAGCCCCCATGTGCTCAGTGCTCCCCATCCCCTTACCATGGTGCCTCCAGAGGTGTTTCCCTGCCTTTGGGATCCCTTTGGGATGGCTGGTGGCAGCTCTGTGCCGGAGCCTGGCTCTGGGCTGCAGGGCAGGAGGAACCCCTGGCCCGGCACCCGGCACCTGCTGCTGCGCTTCAGCGTCACAGCGCTGGGGGAAGAGGTCACCCTGCTGCCTCCAACACCCCTCTTGTGCAAATCCTCCCTCACAGGCTGGCCTGACACACCCCAGGCTTCCAGCTCAGTGCAGACAGCGTTGGCATGCTTATTAATTTGGAGTGTGGCCATGTGGCATGTTGTACACTGTGCTTTCTCAAACCTCGGGGTTTTACGTCACCTGCAACATGCCAGTTCCCTGTTCTGCCAACACGTACTGCTGTAGGTGAAAATCACACCTCAGTTCCAGCACAGAAGGTGTAAGAGAGCAAATGAATGGAAAGGAGAAGGATAGAAGAAAAACAGATATCTGGAAAGTAAACATAATTATCATTCTTAAGTGTGCTCTATTAGTGCTTCTAAATGATCTCCTGGCTTCTCTATTAACATTTCAATTTACTCCTATTACTTCTCTTTCCATGTGCAGTCATCCAGGCTGTCAGCAGGATGGGACAGCTTTCAGTACAGACTCTTACTACTCTTCCCAAACAATCAGGAAAAGATTTGATTCCTATTGCAGTGTTTATTGCAGGACAGGTCTGGAGGCATCACCCCAAAATTCTGACACCAAATTGGTGCAGTCGCCTCCACCCTTTTGCTCTCTCTGCACTAATTCCCCACTGGAAACAGCAGCTTCTCTCAGTATAGAAATCCTCATTTTGATGCAACTCCTGGGTAACAAAGAGGAAGGCACACTTGATTATTGAATCTGTGTTATGTATCCCCAGACTCTATAAATGTACTGTTTATGATGATGTTTAATCAGCAGACATTAAATAGACAATTCCTAAAATGTAGGTTAGTCTACCCTGACATGACGATATTAACAGATTGTTCTGTCACTGCTGGCGACCAGCATAGAAGTATCCTCTTTAACACCTGCATTTTAAGAGTGAGAAATAGTTCATACTGGTTTTTATAAACTCACTTTGGTACAGTCTTCATTTTGCTGCTCTTTACATAAACATGCAAACCATTACTCTTTGCTTTTGGCTGGGAAAAGCTACAGAGCCATAATTTTTGGAGCCATAGTTGTTTTTTAACAAAGAATTTCCATTATAATTTCCATCTGCTGCTTTGCTTAAACTGAATCTCAGAGTTCTTTAGAAAACCATCAGGTCATTGCTTTGAGACTAAGGAATACTCTCACATTTTCATATCTCTGAAAATGGCATTTTGGAATAACTTAGAACTCAGAAGTACCATTGTACTGGTTTAACTCCAATTGGCAACTGAGCACTGAACCAGAAGAGTAAGAACCTTGGGTTGAGGTCTAGTTTAACACACAAAGCCAAAGTTGTGCCCACAAGCAAAGCAAAGCAAGGAGTGGATTCACCACTTCCCATGGGCAGGCAGGAGTTCAGCTACAACCAGGACAGCAGGGCTCCATCACTGGCTCGGGAAGACAAACACCATCCCTCTGAATGTCTTCCCCTTTCTCCTTCCTCCCCCAGCTCAATATGCTGGGCAAATATGCTGGAGATTGAAATACACCAAGAGGCAAATGAAGGACAGCCAGCTGCTTTTCCTCCTCTGCTGGATGTACATCCCTCCCTCCTGGTTGCCTAAATGACTCACCAACAGTGTCAGAAACATGGATTATTTTAGAATACTATTATGCCATTTTACAAAACAGTGCACTCTTATTAAGTTCTTAGGTGATCACACAAAATCCTCTTTTCCTTTTAATTTGGGACATGTAAGCATTTGCATTTCCCACACATTATAATACCTTCCTCAGACAGTGAATGAAGATTTAAACACTTTGCATTCCCTGTAGAACTGTTTTCTGTTTTTCTGTTGCCACCTGCTGGGCAAACCAGCAGCATCTCATTTCAGGATTTCTGACCTTCTCTAGTCTAATAATTAAGTACCTGTATAACATTGCTACACTGATAAAATACTGGTTTTCAGGCATTATCCCTGAAACAGAGAACTGTGCTATGGATTTTTATTTGTAGAGTTTCTCCCCCAATACAACAAGGTCAGAACTATAGTTAGTTCTAATGTGAAGATACATTCATTTAACAATGATGAATACCAGGTATTTTATTCTTGGTAGTATTGGTCTTGGACATCCCAAAATGCAGATTTACGCCCTACCAACATCATCAGTGGATTAGATCTCATCAGATTCACACCGAAGACATTCTTGACTTAATTCAATCTCTGCTGAAACTATGAAACAATGTGAAGCAATTCTGGAAAACTGTGATATACTTTGTAGTGTATCAATAGAATAAACACAATTTTTTTTCATACCCTCAATCACAGCACAAACAAGCAACTCTACAAAGAGGTCAATCAGTAGTCATTTTATTATAAAAATTAGATACTGCAGTTTTAGTATTAATTGAAAAAAAAAAAACCCCTGATAGCTTATTTCTGCCTTCTTGTTCTCTCATGATGATTTAAAAACAATATAAATTCTAAATCAGTAGTACCCCAATAAAGTCAACATTTCCAACCTACACTTAAAATAAAGTTGATTGTTAAAAATCCTGGTAAATGACACTTAACAGCATTCTAAAAACTGTGAATAGCCTGCTGAAACCACTGGTCCAAACCAACCCTCAAAACAGCATCTCTGCCATCCAACTAAAAACAATGCCAGAAGACTACAGCAAAAAGTGTTCATTACCTAACAGTTACTTTGGTAAGAATTTGGCCTGACTTCACAGTGAAGTTTGCCATTTCATTGACTGGCTTACAAAGGACTTAACCTGAGGCCTTGCAAAGCAGTGGGGGAAGAAGACTCATTCTGGTCATTTCTTGGAAGAGCTCAGCTCCAGACAGAGCTTTTGTGTTTCACTCTACCTGATTTCACATCAAGTGTTGGTTTCAGGAACCATTTAGCAATACCAAAGGCTGTTCCTCCCTGTGTGTGCAGAGTATGTAAGAAATTACTTTTTTATACGGAAAAGCTATGTGCTACTTAACCTGGTGCAGAGTCCTGGCAGAGACAAAATCTTTGGGGAGGAATAAGGGATTGGTCTGGGTTTTAAAACCTCTGGAGACAACTAGGCAAGGTCGTTACTGCACTCATGAATAACCTGCCTGAGCTTGTCTGACAATAATGCTGGAGGGTAGCTCTTTTTGGGATAATTTTAGATGAAACAGACAACTATTTTTAGTAGTGAAGATGAGACTGTTTGCAAAGTGCCCCAGTAGGGAGCAAAGCAACAGATCCCACACAGTCTGAGGGTACCAACACACCCATCTGTGTGAAGAAAACAGGAACAGCCACCAGCTTGGAGAATGGTTATTGCTAGAGACAAAGGGCACTACTGCTGCCAGACACCACACTGGGATCCCTCCTTGGAATTGACCTCTTGCCAATTGATGAGAAATGGGTGAATGGATGGAGGAGAAATTCATGTTCTACCCCAAACCTCCAGTTTCTGCCCCAGGCGGTTAGAAACGGAGTTGGTCTGGTGACAGACCTGCAGATGTACAATTTTCTTGCCACTGATCTGGGGTAGACCTTGTGATGTCAGAGAAGCATCTTTTTCTATAAAAAATAATCTTCTGTTCTGAATGACAGAGCATTGCTGAGCTACTCCTATCTAACCTAGGGCTTTGGGTACTGGGGACTTGGGGAGCAATTCTAGATATACAGAGAGACTTTTTGACATCTATGTGAACAAAGCAAGAGGTAGGGAAAGAGTAAAACAAAGCAACAACTTGAGTTGTTCAACTAGACAATAACATAGAATATAATTTTAAAAAATAACTCTATTGCCTTACCACCACCACCAAGTGCTTCTAGGAATGACTATGCATCAGGCAAGCACTAAGTGCTGTAATATGCATTTAAGAAGAGTAGGTACAGCACAACAGTCTTTGTGGCCCACCACCCCATCTTTCTGGCTTAAATATGACTAAAATCCAGGGTGCCTATCCAAAGAGGCATCAGTCACAAGAGAAACCATGGCTTTCAAAACATAATAGGCTTTAGCATCTCCAGTGTTTTTCTTCCATGTGCTTGTCCTAAACCCCATGCTGCAGGAACTGGGCTTTTCAGATGTCTTCAGGCAAAACCCCTAATCACTGGTACTCTGCTGCCTTCTACAGTCACACCTCCAGGAATACTATTGCACTTGTTCAGAGAACTGCTCAGCATTTGCAAGGATGAGAACTTCTTCCACAGTTCAGAACTGGCTACACAACCCTCACTCAAGAGACACATCCAAAGCAAAGTGTTGGAAAAGCTTGAAAAAGAGGATTGAAAAGGAAGATTCTTATTCAGTTGCAGATAGGGAAGGAGTGGCTTTACCCTAGTGTTGGACGGGACCAAGCAAAATGTCAGGAAAACTTGCTGTGGCTTCAAAATTCATACACCACCATTCCCTGTCTGGAGAAATTCCAGGAGTTCACAGGTGGTCATCTCAGATTTCACCAGTCCCTGAAGAGCCTGGTAACATCCCCAAGACAAAGGCAACACCTTCAGTGGAGGAAGACACTTAGTCTCGAATTGGAGGCCTATGGATTGGAGAAAGCACGGCTGCCCAAGCCTGTCTGAAGAGCTGGACCAGTTTGTAAATGAATGGCAGTGATGTGGGAGAAGCTGCAAAGCAGAACAAAAAGGTAAAACCAGCTTAGTAAAACTAACTAGGTAAAATTAACATACACTAAACATATCAAGAAAGAACTACCCCCAACTAGAGTTAATAAAAATCCAGCTCTCTTCCTTCCTCCAGTGAGGAAAAGGCTGAGTTTAGGACAGCTCTGCCTGCCTCTCACAGTCTGTACCTTGTCTGCTGGAAAGAGTTTTCAGAAAACTGGCATTTGTGGAGCTTCATCTTTCTACATGGACTGCAACTGGAAACATTAGACAAACTAAGCTCCTAGTCACCCAGATTTTGTGTCTCCCTAAGACATTTACCACGCTTAGTACAAGCAAATAATTTATTTTCCATAGGCACAATGAAATTTGAAAAATTGGAAATCT